AATCAACCATTTTATAACGTACACATCAATGCCTTAAGACACGACAATAAGATGCAGTTTTGAAGGACAAAAACATACAAAGAGAAAAGGAGCAAGAAATGTATCAAAGGGCTTGTGAAATATATTTGAAATAAAGTTTAGAATCCTACTCATATTGTGCCCAGTTTGAGTGGCCTTCCTCGGCGTGCCAGGCTTCCAGAGCTAGAAAAGGAGACACAGATGGTATCCCTCCTGCTCCAGCAAAATCCAGACTTCAATAGCCCCAGCTCTTCAAACCTCCGAGGGTGGGATGGCACACAAAGAGGCTCTGAAAGGTATCAGGGACCATGAAATGCTTCAAGGGCAGTAGACGGATTCTCCTGTGGTGATCAAATACCCAGCTGAATTACTTACACACAACTGGATAGTGATGCCCAATTGCATCAATAGTTGCAACTGAATAACATGCATCTTCCTGCAAAAGCCTAGAAATTGGGTCCGTTAGTACCCTTATCCCCATTTTATTAAAGGTGAAAATGGGCCTCAGGGTCTGTATCAAAATCTATTCATTCTTGCTCAGCTGGTGGTACAATGGTGTTATAGCTGTGGTACAGGTAAATGCTTATGAAACTTTGCAGATAAAGTTAGGCTGCAATTCTGAAAATCTTTACTTGTAAAATTAGATACAATGTAATTCTAATGTAAACTGGAGGAGAGGTCTGAAGTATAAAAACATGATTACAGCATTATCAGATGGTGTTTATTTTTCATAATGGCCATTTGAGAATAGCAAAATTCCCAAAAACAGAATGACTGTCCTTTATTTAAAAATACCATTAGTTGTTAGCTGGGGATGGGTGGGGAAGGCTTCTGTTTATTTTTAATTCACTTATACATACACATTTTTTAAATTTTTTAAATGTACACATTACATAAATAGTTCCAACTGAACTCAAAGATGATTTCAAGACCAGAGAATACCAGAGCAACAAAGAAAAACGAAACCTTCAGTACAATTACTTACAACGTAAAGAATGTTATCTACTTTCTAGCACCAAATAATCATTAAGCACTGTAAACCACTTACACTGAACTAATTTTAAGTCCCTGTTGTATTTTAGTGGCATCTTGCAACACTCTGAATCAGAGGCTGGGATATTTGTACACATGTTGAAGTAATGGTTTTATTCTCCAATAAAAGCTTGCATGATGGTCATCTAAATCTGAGTAAAGATGTGTCTGCATATTGCTGGCTACTTGGGACTAAACATGTAATGTGTTTAGTTATTTATGGGTTCTGTAGATTGGGGTAGGTAGTTTGCTGCCCTTCAAAAATGTTTACTTGCAATTCCCACCATAGCCAAAGGCAGGGAATGACAGGAGCTCCAATATAACATTCAGAGGGCCATATGTATATCTCTTCTGTTCATCTTAAATAAAGTCATACCACTTCATCTTAAAAATAAAGCTACTGATTTGAATACAAAAGACAGAATAATCCTAACTGAAGCAGGTGGCTGGTCAAGAAAATTCTCTGCTACTTCCCAAGCTCAGCTTGCTTGCCATGGTCAAGACAGGAGTTGGAGATTTTCTCCCCTTCTGGATTCTCCTTCCCTGAACAACCAATGGGGAGGAAAGTAATTTACAGTAGCTATTGGATATGATCCAGAGTCCCTCAGGGGAAAGCTTGAATAAAACAGATTTGTATCCCTTCCCAAGTGAACTTCTGGAGCCCACCATAACTGGGAACATCAAAGTCATCAGTCTCCCTGTCCCATTCTAACTCCAAACCTGACAAGAACCCTAGCAGCTAGCATTGCACCCTGGACTTCCTCAACTTCGACTGCAGTGTATTGAAATGTCTGCAATCACTTCCTCCCTCTTTATTAACTTACGGTACATTTTAAACAATACAGGTGAAATATTCAGAATCTGAGTATCACTGTGCTGAACAACAGCAATACATTACTGCACCTCTCTGATTCTATTTCATAGCGAAATTCCAAGCAACCTTTGCTCATGATTTGAAAAATAAGGTTCCATTTTTGGATTGTATTCTATTTTTAGCCAACTGTTTGTGGAAGCAGGCTCTAGAACTAATGTAACAATAACAGTAATTATGCCAGTCATCCACACTTACTTGATTAATACAATTTCTTTGCTTGAAACACACAAGTCTAATACACTGGGTTCTAATTACTAACAGAAAATGCCTTTACAAACTAGGATGTCACTCGTATTTTTTTTTTTAAAAAACACCCTTTATTTCTATTTATATAATATAAAGAATTTTGGTTTACCATGTATCTTTTTTTAAAAAAAATATTACTTGAACATCTGTTGTGAAACCAGGTTCAATAAGATGACTTGGGGAAGTGTCCTGCGAAAACAGCCTAGTACGGTAATCGATCAAAGATATTCAGAATCCACAGAATAGACAACCCACAAACCACTGAAACTGGTGCAAGTGCAAAAACCGCTCCGCAACCAGATTCTGGGCACACCGATCTAGAAGCAAGCCCGGTTGAGTGCGATGGGCCTTACTCCCGGGGAAACCTGCGTGGCGCGGGATGGCAAAGAGGCAGGGAGAAATCTGCGGGCTTTTACCCTTGAATTCAGCGGGGGATTCACCAACTCCCAAGTAGCGCATACAGGATTAATAGCATTAGGGATCAATCGACCGCCAGTTATCTTCTGAAAACAGAGCTCTCCGAAAATCTCCGCAGTCTCACCACAAGCTCCGGTCGGTCGGATAAAAAGGGCCCTCGCGGGTGTAAAAAAGGGGAAAAAAACGAAAGTGCCGCAGACTTCGTTTCCCCCACGTGGCCTCTCCGCAATCGTAAGCCAGGTTTCTCTCCCCCACTGCCTGCCACCTCCCCCAAACTCCTCCCAGCTCCGAGAAGAGGGAGAAGAGGCGGGGTTAAGGGAGAAACAAACCTAACCGCACGCTCGATTGGCCGGCGGGGGTGTCATTAGAAGGCCTACTCGCCAGAGAAAGGCCCCGGTTGGAGAAGCCGCGAGCTGGGCTCGGTTTTTCCCTGCCCTCGCGCTGACGGCAATCCTCGCAGACAAACATCTGCTTTAGCTTTGAGAGGGAGACACCCGATCGCGCCCCCCTCCCAAGTTTGGCATCATTTAGGATCCATCCAGCGGTACTCCTAGTTATGTGTGTTTATTTTGCTCGGTTAAGACTCGAGGGGCTATTTAGGCGACGGGAGGGAAAGACAGCATCACCCACTTTATACCAACCGAGTTGGGGAAGTTTTAGCCCACGTAGAATGAAGGTGAAATGCTGATGAACGCTAGATTTGTCTCTAGATGTTTTTCTTTTTCCTCGTGTAAATCTGTTCTTTCAGCCCAGTTCACAACTCTTGACGTCAACTGTGTCGATCGTACCGAAAACACGGCGAGTTTGAAGAAAATCCACCGGAACAGATTGTTTCATAGGGGTGTGGAGCGAACCTCTCATCGTTGCAAAGATCGGAAGAACTCGGAACATACACCAAAACCAATAAACATATAATTTGCTCAAATACGGTGACCTCGCACGCGAATGTAACATTCCTGTTTAAACAAGGCCATTGTTGAAAAGTGTTTCGGGGCGATCCTTATATCGCAGTCTTGTATTTCCTGGAAAAGTCCCTTTGAATTTAGTGCGGGTTACTTTTGGGTAGATCGGTATATACATATTTCGTATAGGTCAGGTATATCTTTCCGTCCGTCGTAACATCACGGGAACACAAGCTCTGTTTTCGCATTTGCGGGCTGCGATACAGTAAAATATAAAACGATTTGAGTGCACATAAAGCAAGTATTTGTAAATACTAGGCGAAAGTGAAGAAACAAGGAATTAATTGCAAATCCAACTTTTATAAGCTCTTGTTTACAAACAAAAAAATGAAGTTGGATGAAAGTGAGTTTCGTCACCGAAGTGCCTGTTTCTTTGTTTGACGACTGCTCCGTAGAAAGGTATTAAGGAAGTCATCTCCGACAGGGCTTCAGTCTCTGTGTGACGGGAGTTTCTACGATTCCCAACTTAAATTTTAAGGAGTGGCTGTCGGAGCGAAGCAGGCAGGTTTAGCCTCCAGCAGCAAAGACGGGACCGGGGTGCGGGGAAGAGGAAAGAACCAAAACCCCAAGAAACAGGTTTTCTGTGAGATTCTTTTGTTCCCGGGGGAGATACCAGAGGGCTGGACGCCCGCAGGGAAAGCCTCGAGCCATACTCCCACTGAGGGCGCCGGTTTGAATAACTGGGGCGAGGAGCCATGGAAAGTCTCTTTCTTCCCTTTTGCTGGATGCAAACCTGGGTGTGAGAAAGCATTACTCAGTTTCTTCAGAAATGAACAAAAAGCCTCGTTTCCGAGGGAGATAAAACTTCCTGCACCTTTAAGAAAAGCGTAGTCTGCAACCCTCCAGCTGCCGACTTTCTCGCCCTGTTTCCCGTTTTCCAGGCTGCGTGAACGCGCTTCCTGGCCTCCAGAAAAAGGTCTCTCTCTCTCTCTCTGTCTCTCTCGAGCTCAACTCTCCCCACCCCGGGCCTCATCACACCTCCACTCTAGGCTGAATCCCTGCACGCATCCTGCCTTCTCTTCCTCCACAGCTTAGCCTGCTTCCCCCCTCCCCTTCCCCGTTCCCACAATTCCTCTTCTTCTCGAAACTCCGCCGCCAGAGTCGAGGAAGAATCTCTCCCGTTTATCTCCCTCCGCCGGGTGGGAAGTGTGTGCGCGCGCACGAGGAAAGGGAAAGTCAGAGTGGAGGGGCACTATTTCTCCACCCCCTTTTTTTTATTTGCTCCCCTCCCCGTGCTCTGCGCGCCGTTGGGTGGGTTGCCTGTGGAATGCTACGCGCGCGGCCCGGCGAGGCGGCGGCAGGATACAGTCGAGTTCCTGCACTCGCTATAAGAAGCTCCTTGTGAGCGACGCCATTTTAAGCCGCTCGCTCGCTCGCCTTCGGTTCGGTGGCGGCGGAGGACCGGGGAAAGCCGTTCCGGGTGCGGTGAGAAAGGGGAAGGCGCCTGCGTGGCCCGTGCTGCGGCTGTAGGCGAGGCATAGAAACAGCAGCGAAGGCGGCAGCCGGAGTCACGAGCCGTTGGGGGGGGGCACAAGACCCTGCGCTCTCTCGCCTCCCCGCCCTGCTAGTGTTAGTGCAATTCCCGCGGGTGGGGGTGGGCGAGGGTTGTTCTCCGTTTGTCTCCCCCCTCAGTTTTCACCCTTTCGTCCTGCCTTTGCAGAAACTTGCGCTTAGTCCCTGCTTTTTCTCGGGGTGGGGGTGGGGGTGGAAGCAGACGGAGGTGTGGGGACTGTAGTTGCACCCAGGAAGTGATTGGATTTGGGGAGATGTGAGGGGGGGAAGCAAGAGATTAGTAGGAGACGGAAAGAAAAACAAAGTGAGGAGGAGAGCGTTTGGGGGCGTAGGGAAAAAAGGAGTCTAGAGGCGGGAAGCAAGAGTTGCCTTAGGAGAGGAGGAGGAGGAGGTCTGAGGCGGGTGTTTATCTGATTTTGGGTGGGCGAGGGAGCGGCTTGCATTCGTGGGACAACAGATCA